CGAAGTATCCAGGCAACCTGGATAAACTGTCAGCGTCTGTATTGCTGCGACCAGGACGATACTTGATATCAAAGTTGAAGTCGGAGAGTTCACCAACCCATCGGAGTCCGGTGGCGTTAAGCTTGGCAGTCATGAGGATATAGGTAAGAGGATTGTTATCGGTAAAGACTGTAAACTTTGGTGAATAATACAGGTAGTCGCGAAACTGTTCGGTTATCGACCACTTTAATGCCAGGAATTCTAGTTTCCCAGAATGAAGATGATAATTTTTTTCTGCAGGGGTCAATGTCCTGGATGCATATGCGATGACTCTCAATATGCCTGCTTGTCTCTGGTAGAGTACAGCACCGAGACCGTCTTGCGAAGCGTCAGTATGTACAAGGAATGGATCATTGTATTGTGGGTAGGCTGGGATAGGTGGAGAAGTTATCCTTTCAACGAGAATTTCTAAGGCACTGGAATGTTCAGGTTTCCACTGTATCAGTGATTTGGATGGTAACTGATTATTGCCATACTTGTTGTGGTTGTTTCTGCTTGCTGTTGACATCTTCGGTGGAGATGTGTCCCTATTTAACAGGTCGTATAATGGCTTTGCAATCTTCGAAAAATTCTCGATCGACCGTCGATACACACCAAGCAGACCCATTATCTTTCGCACTTCTCCTACGGTCTTTGGAATGACTCCTTTAAGCTTTTCAACGGCTTCAGTCGCCTTGGGGTCCATCTGATACCCATTACCTGATACGATTCGACCCAGGAATGACACCTCGTTCTTAAACAGGTTACACTTTTTTGGCTTAAGTTTAACCCCATGACTCTTTAATCGTTGAAGAACTTCCTGTAGATGTTGCACATGTTCCTTGAAGGTCTTGGAGAAAACAATAACGTCGTCCAAGTATGGTATACAAATTTTGTCTCGAAGGTCTCCCAAACAGTTCTCCATAAATCTCTGGAAGTTGGCGGGTGCGTTCATTAGCCCAAACGGTATTCTGGTCCACTCATACAAGCCCCAGGGGGTTATAAAGGCTGTAAGAGGCTGACTATCTCTGTCCATAAAACCTTGATGGTAAGCCTTCCCCTGGTCGAGGACACTGAACCAGTGGTTTCCTCCCAGGTTGTCTAGTGTCTCCTGAATACGCGGGATAGGGTGTCTGTCAGGTACAGTTTTCTGGTTTAAGGCTCGATAATCCACACACAATCGTAACCCACCGTCTTTTTTTCTAACACATACCACACTGCTGGAAAACGGTGATTTCGATTTGCGTATAAAATTTCTGTTCAATAGGTCCTCTATATAAGCCTTTACTTCCGGATACAGTGGTCTGGGAATTGACAAATAGTTCTTCTGGACTGGTTGATCATCAGTTAAGTGAATGTTCATTTGAAGTCCCTCAATACACCCAACGTCTTCGTCATCCATCGCAAATGCATCAGCTTCCTCGTATAACATCTTTGTTGCTTCTCGTCTTTGTTCAGGTGTAAGCCCACTTAAGTCTACATCTGGTAGTCTGGGTTCTTCACTTTCCAGGTATGATGGTTCTGTTGGATCTACCTGAATCTCTGTCTCTATGTTGCCTGGCTGCTCTCCCAGTTCTTCCTTCTTTAATTTGACTTCAAGTGGAGTAACCGAGCGAACCAATTGTAGGTTGCCATTGGTGTGTCTGAATCAGTGTTGGCATGGTTTAAAAGTTATCTATCGGGACGAAGCCAAATAGTACGTATTGGGTCGACATTGTCGGAAACATGTATTATAACTCGAGGGGCCGGGTACCTCAAGGATCTATTCTTGGGCCGGCATTATTTAACATATATATTAATGACCTACCCAATGTTCCAAAAGAGTCCTATTTGCATGGAATCTTATGTGGATGATTTGAAAATCTATCTGGCATTTCCAATTCAGAATATTGAAACTGCTGCGTTTAAACTTACACAAGATATGGAAAGAATTCACCGCATGGTGCTGTATAAATAGTCTGCTAGTGAATCCAAAGAAAACGAAACTTCTATTACTGGGTACAAGTCAAATGCTAAAAAAACACTATGGCACAGATTTCCATATAACTGTTCTTGGTGAGAAAATAATCCCACTTCAGACGGTTAAAGATTTGGGAATGACTTTGGATTCAAGTTTGACTTACGACAAACATATTGTCGATACCGTCTCAAAATGTATCACTGAATTATGCCAAATCAACAGAGTTAAATTAAGCATATTTTCGACAAACACACTTTATCCCTTATTATAAATGCACTGGTCTTCAGTAAAATGTATTATTGTTCCTCCGTTTGGTCGAACACCTCGAAAAAATATATATCAAAACTCCATAGCGTGCAGAACTTCGCGGCACGCGTTATTACTGGAATCAGAAAATATGACCATGTGACGCCTATCCTTCAGCAATTAGCTTGGCTTCCAGTTGAGTGTATGTTAAAACTCAGGGATGCGGTTATGACATTTAAGTGCATGAAAGGGTTAGCTCCGCCATACTTGTGTGACAAATTCGAAATGAGATTAAAGATCCACAGTGTTAACACCAGAAATAAGGATAAGTTAGACATTCCACTGTATAATTTGGCTTCTGGACAGCGAACGTTTCATTATCGCGCAGTGTCTATTTGGAATGAGCTCCCAAATCATATTAAAGACATTGACACTTTGGACCTGTTTAAAATAGAATATAAACGTCATTTATTGCATGGATTTTTAGAAAGTAGTTAATAGTTTTAGACAATTTGGACTTGTTTATAGGCTATTAGCATATAAACGTTTTTACTGTATGGATTTTATTAGGAAGTAGTTAATCATTTTAAAGTGAGATTACTAATAATTATAAAATTTTTAATTTGTGTTTGTATGTATGTACGTATGTTTGTGGGTGTGTATATATATATTGTTTGTAGTATATAAATGATTTGTAATTACCTGCTGAAAAGCCCTTTTGGGAGCAGGCAATATTGTAATAATAATAATAACTGATATACTCAAAATTTCTGTCAATTTTTGAAATTGTGTTCCATTACGATTGACGAGCAAATAGTCGCACCTGGGTTGCAGCAATGGTCTAACATAGCGAGCGTAATTTTCAACAACATCCAAACTTATTTCGTCAAAATATAAGGAATCAAAGCCATATTTTTTGGCAGTTTTGAATGCGGTTTGATCCACCATTCCTTTATTTTGTTTTGCACTCTCAAACATGCTAACGGTCAAATGCAGATAAGTCATAGGCCTACAGCCTTTAACTTTGAGCTTTGAAAAAACATAAATACTGCTAGGAAACGGGTAGCAAATGTAAGATTTGCGCTAACAACCGGTGATTTGTTTTTGCATTCGTCCAATATAATCTTATAACGTGGTATATGGAAGGGTATTACAGTTTGGAGTTCGGCTAAGCTTTCCCAACTCCGTCTTGATTCAAGTGTTTCTGTGTCAAGATCTGTCGTCCAGTGCGACCTCATTACTAATTTGGCAAACACTTTTTTGCTCTTTTGATGTAAACTTCAGTTATATACAGAGAAATTTTGCAGTACGGCGCCAGAGGGAGAGTTAAACTTTCGAAAATCTAAGCTCGGATATGCTTGTTATGTAACCTAAATTGGCCGCAATTTCCCATTTTCTAAGTACCCTGAAGATAATCAAGGAATCCTGTTAACAATTTCGAACAACCAGGAAAATAAATAATGATCTATAATTTCTATAGAGGAATTCTTCCACGCCTGTTTCAGAACAACAAAATGTTATAAACTTGAGAGCCCTTGTCACTGAAATTTGTGATTGCTTTTCAGACTTGCCGCTCCCAGCCGTACTTTCTAACCAGACCGAAAGGGAACGAGGTAAATCATTATCCGTAGAACAACATGGAATTGTATGCTTGGTTTTTTATGTGATTACATCGGCCTTTTCTTCCACAGTATTTGAAATAACAATAGGATTTTCCAAAACCCGATCAATTGATCGAAATACTTATACCAAGGGCAAGGGTGCTTTTCGTAAACATGGTTCCTGCAACCGGGACAACTGCTAAATCCAGGGTGTTCGCATCCATTTACAGGACAGTGATATAAGTCATTCTTGTCTCGTTCCAAATTCCGTCATCTTGGTTTCTTGAAAGCTCCATCAACTGATTTCTAATCCACAGTTCTAGCATGTTGTCGTGGCATTTAAAAGTGAACAAGACCGGCTGAGTGGCAGCCTATAAAATACACATTAGACGTTGTACATTACATAAACCCATTCGTGCATATGACGCTTATTGTTGCACCGTACAATTCGTTTTCAAGGTAAATGTATCAAAGACATAAAACTATGCCAGATAAGTGTTTTCTGGCTCTACAATTGTTCTAGCACACATAATTATACACTTTTAAAGATTTAAAAAGCTATATAAGCATACCCCGAAGCGTAATTGAAATAAGTAAGATGAAACGCGTTGGTACGCTGAAAGCTATATAATTATATGAGTATATGAGTACAGATCTTTAATGGAATATTACCTTACAGAGTTATGTTATCAAATTGGTTGCTGTTTATCGTCCGCCTTCGTCGATTGCACTTTATGTACCTTCTAGCTTGTCCTTTGAGGAATTTTCCATCTATCTCGAAAGCGTTGTAACGTCAACTGAGCTGTTACTTATTTCGGGCGACTTCAATTTCCATCTGGATTCCGCTGAAGATAATAACACTAATTAAGAAGTTCTGCGAAATCTTGGAAACATTTGGTCTCACTCAACATGTTACTTTTTCCACTCATAACTCAGGACATATTCTTGATCTTATAATTAATCACGAGGTCAGTTAATGACGTTCTAATATCCGTGGTCGAACCCACTCTGACTCTGTCTGATCCTATGACTGCCAAATGTAAGATAGCCATTCCTAAGCCGAATTTAATTGTTAAGGAAATTCGTTCACGAAATTTTAAGCGAATTGATCACCAGGCGTTGAAAAGCGACATTTCCTCATCTGACTTGTATAATAGATCTTGGACTAATATAGTTGAACTTGCAAACTGTTATAACGAATCTTTGTTAGAAATTCTTGACAAGCATGCACCTTTAAGACCATGGAAATAATTGATAGACCTATAAGATACCGTGGTTTGCTGATGACCTTAAAAACCTCAAAGCTGAACGTCGGAAACGAGAAAGGAAAATGCTTCAGTCTGGACTTATGGCGGATAAAGAAGTATATCATAAAATTAGAGACAGATACAGTGCTCTTCTTCAGAAAACAAAGGTCTCCTTCTACATTGATATGATTGACCAATGCCCATGAAATCCTAAGAAATTATTTCGTATTGCCAACTCGCTGTCCAAAAACAATCAGGATAAAGCATTGCCACCTTATGAAGATCGGTGCACCTTAACTGAGAACTTTGGACAATTTTTCTATCATAAGATTGAACTTATAAACGAGAAGATTGATAAAATAGATGCAGGTTGAACATCGCTTTCCGGAAGTGAAGTTTGAATCTTTTTCTCCGGTGTCAGATGATGTAGTATCAAACATTATCATGTCATCTTCGAATACCTCTTGTCAGCTAGATCCAATACCCACTTAGTTGCTTAAGAGATGCTGTGAATGTTTGGTCTCCTATTATCACTCGTATGATAAACTTGTCTTTGGTGGAAGGGATAGTTCCTGAAATTTGGAAATCTGCACTTGTATTGCCTTTGCCTAAGCAGCTAGGTCTGGATTTACTGTTTGAGAATTTTAGACCTGTCAGCAATCTCTCTTTTGTCTCCAAGTTAACCGACAAGGAAGTGGTGGGTTAGTTGTTAAATCATTGCAATGTCAATGCTGTTGTATATGCCATATATGCCTGTTAATCAATCAGCCTATCGTCAGTTTCATTCTGCGGAAACTGCCCTTCTCGAAGTACAAAGTGATATCCTTAGTAACATGGATAATCAAGAGGTCGTACTATAGCTACTTGTGATGCTTGATCTCAGCGCGGCTTTTGACGCCGCAGACCATTGGATTTTGTTGGATATTCTCGAAAAATATTTTGGTGTGATTGGTAATGCCAAGAAATGGTTCATGTCCTTTCTCTATGAAAGAAAACAGCGTGTTGTTATCGATCATTGCAAGTCACTAATGCATTGAAAACCAAGACCATGCTCATCCATTCTCCCCAACAACTTAAGAATACTTCAGACCGTTCTCTATCAGTTATTCTTAATGGCAACATGCTTTCACAGGTGAAGCAAGCAAAAGTGTTGGGTTTAAAGTGCCTATATCACTCGTGGGATCTTTACGGATTTGAAAAGAGCAGAAAAAGTTATTTTAGAAGTTCTTCAACCTTTTTTGATTTGGTTCAATAGTTTCTCAGATATAGGCCCTCAAACATGGCAATTTTGACCTTTTTTGAAAAAAATCCGTCGTACCAAATTTTGCTTGGGGGTCTGGGACTCAGGAACGCGAGCGTAAACAAACATTATAGATTACATTAGCTTCCTCCGCAGGCATCGCCTTTCGATTATCGGGCAAAATTTCTTGCAGGAAAAAAAATTAATAGTGGCGATGCCTGCCAAAACCCGAAGACTTTGGACCAGCTATGTAACCCTTGTGGACCGACTATGTTACCCCCACCCCCATGGTATTAATTGTTCATATCAAAACTACTACAAAATGTCAAAAGCTGTGTTACCCCTACTCCCATAGGATACGATCTTTTTATATTCAGACACAATTCGAAAAAATATCGATCGAGAATATCATTTTTATGTTGCAAATTGAAACAAATATGAATGAAACATTGATTATTTTGCACTTACAACGGATGGCCGGAATTTAACGAAATACAGATGGTCAAACCACGCCGAAACTATGTTAAAATCGTATCGAAAGGCGAAATGTGAAATGTGAATGGAATTTATAAGAATTTTTGCAACCGTTCAATTTATATTTGGTCTGTATCCTACATGCATATACAGTAACATCAAATATTAATACTTTTGGAAAATGGAATACTCTAGAATGCAGATGGAGTGGTAAATGTCAAAATTTCAACTGGATAATGGATGCTCTTGCCTCTTGGAATTGTCGATTACTGTTACACTTATAATGGACGCGTGCATGACATTGAAATTGGTTTGTCAACACAAATAGTTTGAGATATTTCAGCAAAGAACAAACTTCAAATTTACAATCCCATGTGTTTTTACGCTGTATGTTTACGCCGTATGTTACTATAGCGAGAAATATCTCGGGGATTTGTTAAGTACATGTACAGCATGTAAACAACTATGTAAACTGCTTAGTGCTGACTGTGCTTGTAACACAAATTTGAAGCGACTATTGTGCAAGTTTACCAAATGTAAGAAGTGTTTATATATTCAGTAACTATAAATCAAGCAAAGTTATACAATTTATGTTGTTGCTGTATTATGTTAGATGTTATGCTCAAGATTATTCTACTGCATTACTGCATGGTATTAACCAGCCTGCCATCCAGCTGACTAAAATTTTAAACAGCCATCTAAAAATTTGGATTGCCACTTGTGTCAAGAAACATGCCTTTACGCCACCAAAAGAGATACACCTCCATGTGTAAATAAAATAATACAGGGATCGATCCAGCATGATCTGGTAGGGGGCTGCTCTGCTGTGGTGCCGCCAGCTCGATAATTGGGGGGGGGGGCGAATATTCATATATTTGTGTTCACAGAGCATAAAAACAATCAATTTCAAAAGAAGTTAATAATGCAGAACACGAAGATATGAATATTCGCCCCCCCCCCAGTTATTGAGCTGGCGGCGCCACTGAAGCTCTGGTGCAGAGTTGTGTCGGTCATGTGTGCCACTCGCCCATCAACATACTACATTTGAATTTGAATTGTTGTTCACAGTTTGCTTATCATGTTATTGCTCAAATTACTGTATCTCATTTTGTCTCTATTATTTTTTGCTTTATCATGAAAAAAGCACCCCCTTCGCCCTCTCCTGCCAGGGCTTGGAGGGTGCACCCCCCTCTAGTAAATCTGCAACTTGCAATGCAATTTCTGATAAAAGGCGATGTGATTTAAAAATAAGTCACAGGGAAATTGTGAGCATAGACAACAGTTTACACTACTTTTATTTTTTTATCCCATTTTCATCCATTAAAAACATGTTATATTGTAAAGAAGGTGCCAGCAGAACAGAATGCTGGCCATGTTCAATTATGTCACTATTTTATCTGGCAGGTTATGACATGCTTGATCAATGTTGTCATTGACAATGGTGGCTTGTCCATGTGTTGTAGCCTTGAAGCTGCTAATTGTACAATGTAAACCTTTCTGTTCACACTTTCTAGGATGCAGCAACTTAGTCTCCATCTCAGACATGCAAAATAGCACCTGGTTTCTTGTATAGGAATCCTGACAATTCAACATCTTCATTTGGATTAAAAAAAAATAAAAAAATATTATTATCATCATCTACCATGTTATTGTTTAACTGCTGGATTGTACAATGCAATTCACACCATGCAGGTACTGGACACTAGTGCACACATGAAACAAGACATAGTATAGTAAGCAGGGGCGTCGCTAAGGCATCAACATTGGGGGGTGGGGTCATGTTTTGATCAATATTTAATAAAATTTTGACCAAGTCGTAAACCCGGAAATGTTGTCGACATGGGGGTAAAAAAAATTTCCAGACTAATATAAGCATATTTATAAATTTTTCGACCAGAATAAGCAATAGGGCGTGGGCTGTTGTGCGAAAAAGTGCCTAGAAAAGCAATTTCGTGGCACCCTCCTGGGAAATAGATATTCTGTTGTTCAATTCATAGAACCATACATGCTTAATTACCACAAAAAGTTCCCAAGCAAAAAACTTGCCCAACACGGAGAAAATGGGTGATCAGTGATTATCTTCTATTAAATTGTATTACAGCAAGAAAATGTAAAATTTTGTATTCAATTACAACAAAAGTGCACTTGCATTATAAGAAAGCTTACAAAAACCTACATATAAGACATTTAAACAGTTTTTTTATATCTAAAATTGTTTTCGAGTTATACACTGTCAAAAACGCGTTTTTGACCTAGTACCCAGTCCTTATGGCGACATTTTGGTGCAATTTTCACATATAAAACAGCAATAACTCAAAGACTATTTGAAAAATCAAAAAACTGTTTAAAAGTCTTATATGCTGTTTTTTGTACGTTTTCCGATGATGAAAGTCATTTTTATTGTAATTGAATACAGAATTTCCCATTTTTTTGCTGTAATACAATTTATTGGGCAACTTTTTTGCTTGGGAACTTTTTTTGGTAGTGATGTACCTATATGCCTTTCAAATAAACCCCAAACCAAGTATTTCCCACATGGGTGCCACGAAGCGAAATAAATTTGGCCAACAGCCCACGGCCTACAAGGCTTGCCAATATTTAACCACAATTTACCAACTTTGACCTTAAATTTTAAGCAAATATCAGTTCCATTTTGACAAACTTTGAGCAAATAGCAGTTCCATTTTGACCAACTTTGACAAACGTTTCAATTACGGTTCAACGCTACACCCCGGTAGCGACGTCCCTGATAGTGAATATAGTAAGTGAATCCAGCTAATTTTAGATTTCAGACAGTGACGTTGCTTCACTGATTGGCATACTCGGCCAATCTGACAACCAAACACCAGACCCATAGGCGTATATTCGATCAACAGTCGGGCAATTTTGGTTTGCAATAAAAAAAAATGGGACAAATTCTGTCAATTTTGTCTAAAATTAAGTCAATTTTTTGGCAAATTTTGTGATTTTTCGAAAATTTGTGGTATGTTCCGAAAAATATTGGTTGTCCGGAAAATTTTTTTGACCCCTAAAATGGTACACTGACCGAAATTTTTTTGGCGACGGGGGGGGGGGGTCGCCAAAATAATTTTTCCGGAAAAAATTTTTTGGTACTAGTCGGGAAGAATCCCGAAAAGTCGGGCAATTTTCTTTCCGCCCCCCTAATTTTTTCCTTCCGGTACGCCCATGACCAGACCAAGGCTTTTTCACTCAAATGAATCTGGCTCTTGCCTTGGTTTCAATTAATAATGGTCCACAATTATCAAGCTGAAATATATTTTATCTTGTTACATTTCTACACATCATATGTAGGGTAATTTTGTCCTGCTTCTAACAACCACGAACAGACAGATTGAACTAACTGTACATGATAATTGTACTATTTTAAATAATTATGCCGGCCAGACATTAACAATTATTTAATACACAAAACAATTATAATTGATCCAAAAAATATTATATGAAATTAAATGCATTTCATTGTGATGTTAACACAAAGTCTATCTTTATAGTGCTTAAAAGATTTCAACAAGATTTCTATTTCTATCTACAGCTTATACAAAAATATACGTCAACCTAGCCTGTGCACATCCTGTATTACCCTGTACTACAGTCTGTGAAAACTCACGCGATTGCTTGTCGAGCTACTCAGATGTGAGTAGTACACTGTCATAGGCTAAAGATAATTAAATTATTTTGATTGCCTACGATTGGTTAATTTTTCATCACTAGTAAAACCTGTTTTTCCAATCAGTACAATAATTCATTAAGTTTTAATTTCTATGACCGAAATTGATTTGTTATTTTGTTCTTCAAAATTTCCTATACTTGCTGTTCCAAGTCAAGGTAAATTTTATTATATTTTTAATCGTCGAGAAATAAGCTATCGGAAAATGTTTAAATGGGCTATTCCATTTAATATCCGTACACCCCCTGTCGAGGATACATGTTTTTTATGGTTATACCCCTGAAGAATTCCAAGCTCAAAACCTTTTACCCCTGAAGAATTCCAAAATTCCAAGCTCAAAACTCTTTACCCCTGAAGAATTCCAAGCTCAAAACCTTTTACCCCTGAAGAATTCCAAAATTCCAAGCTCAAAACCCTTTACCCCTGAAGAATTCCAAGCTCAAAACCCTTTACCCCTGAAGAATTCCAAGCTCAAAACCCTTTACCCCTGAAGAATTCCAAGCTCAAAACCCTTTACCCCTGAAAAATTCCAAGCTCAAAACCTTTTACCCCTGAAGAATTCCAAGCTGAAAACCCTTTACCCCTGAAGAATTCCAAGCTCTGAAAAATTTCAAATCAAACCTCCTTACCCCTGAAGAATTCCAACCTCAAAACCCTTTGCCCCTGAAGAATTCCAAGCTCAAAACCCTTTACCCCTGAAGAATTCCAACGTCAAAACACTTTACCCCTGAAGAATTCCAAGCTCAAAACACTTTACCCCTGAAGAATTCCAAGCTCAAAACCCTTTACCCCTGAAGAATTCCAGGGATCCTCGACAGGGGGGGGTACGGATATTAAATGGAATAGCCCAATCAAGTTTATACGATCAGAAATTTAGAAGTTAGGTGTCAATTTGGCAGTCGCTTGACTAAAATTTAATTGTTTACAACATGAAAACAACGTTACAAATCTCATGTAAGCTCATCCAATTTTTGTTGAAGAGACTTTGTTTACTTATCTTTCGAAAGAAAATCTTCTAAGGATTTCAAAAATATATAGTGTGTCTCGTGTTAAGATAGGAAATAATTTTTAAATGAAGAAAAGTGAATGAACTTTGCACGTCAGTCGAGACATATTAAATATTTAGTTTAGAATGTATTATGTATTAAGCATCAAATTTCGTCGGGAAATTTGGTGAAAACTTGCTCAAACCTTTACATACTTTATATAATCAGTATCGCTATAAAGCCAGGAGTTTAAAAAATGTTTAAATGAAGTACATTGGTCGAGTATTTTAAAAATTATCCAAAGTTTTGTACTGAGAATTTCAAAATATTTTAATACATAATATTATGTGATACGACAGCATGCATGGCATGTAAATATAGCGCAATAGTACAAAACTTTGCATAATTTTTAAAATACTCAACCAATGTACTTCATTCAAACATTTTTAAACTCCTGGCTTTATAGCGATACAGATTATATAAAGTATGTAAAGGTTTGAGCAAGTTTTCACCAAATTTCCCGACGAAATTTGATGCTTACATAACTATACGTTCTAAACTAAATATTTAATATGTCTCGACTGACGTGCAAAGTCCATTCACTTTTCTTCATTTAAAAATTATTTCCTATCTTAACACGAGACACACTATATATTTTTGAAATCCTTAGAAGATTTTCTTTCGAAAGATAAGTAAACAAAGTCTCTACAACAAAAATTGGATGAGCTTACATCAGATTGGTAGGCTAATGTTGTTTTCATGTTGTAAACAATTAAATTTTAGTCAAGCTGCTGCCAAATTGACTCCTAACTTCTAAATTTCTGATCGTATAAACTTGATTTAAACATTTTCCGATAGCTTATTTCTCGAGGATTAAAAATATATAAAATTTACCTTGACTTGGAGCAGCAAATATAGGAAGTTTTGAAGAACAAAATAACAAATCAATTTCGCGCATTGAAATTAAAACTTAATGTATTATTGTACTGATTGGAAAAACAGGTTTTACTAGTGATGAAAAATTAACCAATCGTAGGCAATCAAAATAATTTAATTATCTTTAGCCAATGACAGTCTACTACTCAGATCTGAGTAGCTCGACAAGCAATCGCGTGAGTTTTCACAGACTGTAGTACAGGGTGTTGAGTTTTGTCTAACTATAATATTTAATACAAACTACTTCGCTCACAATCTCCAAAACTGATCCCTTGTCCGAGCACATTTCGTGCTCATGTCTCCTATGTCCTAGTGACGTATCATGTCCGTGACGTCATAGAGACGTAGTCATTACATCACTTTTTTTCTTTTTTTTTTAATTAATGTAACATAACTATATATCTGAAGTTTCATAATATTGATAATATTGTCAAGTTATTATTGACGAATGTACAGGTAACCCATAATGTTCAACCGGCATGCAGTTTCTTGTTGATCTTCTCAAACCATCATGTTGTTCCTCTTGCTGTATCTCCCCGGCATTTTCTACTTCACTTCCTCTCGTTCTAGCTACCGGCATTTCGTCGTCTTCTTCTTCTGCCATCCACTTTTCCTTATTAAGTTTCCTAAAAAATGAAGAATTTCGGGTGATCCGATGGTCTTTATTTTCTGCTACCACCTTGGAACCCTTGATGGCCGTCACCGTATATGGTTGGGGAGAAAAGTTAGTTGATAACTTATTGCGCTTTTGCTGCTTCACCAAGACCTGGTCACCAACTTTAATGTTGCTTGGTCGAGCATGGCGTCTCTTATCTGCATATTGCTTTGCCTTATCTCTCTGTTGTCCTTGGTTTGCCTGTGCTTCGCTGTGTCTGTTGACTAATGGGTTGGTGTAATTGTTGGCAATTTCCCTTGAATATTGCGATTGAACAAAAGTTGTGCTGGGGGAACTTTGGTTGTAGAGTGTGGGGTTTGCCTATATGTAAGTAAGAACTTTGAGGGTTCCTGCTGCCATGGTCGCTTTTGCAAGTGTGCAGACCTGATACATTTGCCAAGAGGCTTCATGAATGCTTCAGCCTTTGCATTTCCTTGCGGCCATAACGGTGTGGAGGTGCAATGTTTTATACACATGGCAGTCATTTATTGGTTAAATTCATGCCCCTGGAATGGCGGTCCATTATCAGAAGTGAGCTGAGCAGGGATACCGTGCCTCGAAAATATAGAATCCAATTTAGGAATAACCTTCTTAGCTGAAATGGACTTCAGAGTTTCCACTTCAGGAAATCGTGAATAACAGTCAATTACTACCAGCACGTAGTGTCCCGATGGGAGAGGCCCATAAAAGTCAACTTTAACTTTCTCCCATGGACGATCGGGCATGGGTGGTGACTGTATGGGTTCTGGTGGGTTAATGTGTAAGTTTGCCTGGCATGCCAAACAGCTGTCTACTGTTTCTTTCACTGCCTTGTCCATCCCGGGAAACCATACTGCTTCTCGCAGCAGCGCTTTCGTTTTGGCTTGGCCCTGGTGCCCCTCATGCGCAATGTTAATGACTTGTTGTCGAAGAGATGAGGGAACTAGTATTCGTGTGCCCCGTAGTAGTACATTGTTATGAACTACTCTCGAATGAACGAATCAACTGTGATTTCATCTTTAATATACTTATATGGTTCTAGCTGACTATTGTTCACCCAGTGCCCTGTTTCAACTGCCTCTCTTAAGGTACAGAGATCTTTATCCTCAGCCTTACTGATGTCGCTAAGAGTGAGTGCACTGGGAACTGCTGCAACAGTTACAAAGTTAACATATTCATCAGCTATGTTGCTTTCCTTTGCTTTGCCTGGCAAAGGGTGACGTGACAAAAAATCTGCAGGGTTGTCTTTCCCCGCTTTGTACACCACTTTAAAATCATATTGCTGCAACCGCAGGATCCATCTTTCGATCCTAGCTGGGGGTTTTGACAAGGGGTTTGCATAAACGAGTTCAAGCGGTTTGTGATCTGTGTATAGTGTAAATGGGGCCCCATACAGGTACAGATGGAAGTGCTCTATACCCCAAACAATCGCAAGGGCTTCCTTCTCGGTCTGAGAATAGCGTTTCTCAGTTGAGGTAAGTGCTCGACTACCATAGCATATTGTTTGTGTTTTTGTTGAACCTTTGGCTCTTTGTGCTAGAATTGCACATAGTCCCACTGGACTGGCATCAACTATTATGACTGTTTCTTTGCCCGGATCAAAATAGCTCATCACAGGTTTACTTATCAAGGCAGTTTTTAGGGTTTGGTATGCATTCTCTTGTTCGTCCCGCCATGTAAATGGGATGTTTTTGTGGGTAAGCATACGAAGTGGTTCTGTGATGGTGGCAAAATTAGGTATAAATTGAGCACTAAAGTTTGCCAGCCCAAGTAAGCTACGGACTTCGCTTGGGGTTGTTGGAGTGGTACTGTTCGCAAGGGCTGATATTTGCTTTGGGTCTTGGCTAACACCGTCCTTAGAAAACACCAGACCAAAAAAATCAAGGTTCTGTTTCAAAAACAAGCACTTACCCAAATTCAAGGTTAGCCCATTGTCCTCCAATCGTTGTAAGCATTCTTCCAAAGATGTGTTATGCTCTTCATAAGTGCTTCCAAATATAAGAATGTCGTCTGCGATATTCCGTACCCCCTTGATGCCTTGTAAGACTTGCTGTAACGTATGTTGAAATATCTCTGCCGCCGAATTAGTTCCATAATTAAGTCGCTTGAATCTATATATACCCGTATGTGTGACAAATGTTGTGATGTGTCTACTACTTGGAGATAATTCTAGCTGATGGTATGCTTGCGTCAAGTCCAGTTTTGTGAAAAACTTAGCACCGTTTAGTTCTAACGAAACATCCTTCACAGTTGGAATTGGGTGTCGAACACGTTTGATTGCATTGTTCGCTGCTCGTATATCAACACATAACCGTATCTTATCGTCTTTCTTAGGAACAATGACCAGAGGAGAAATCCATTCGGTTTCTTCGGTGTCAGGTACCGGTTCAATGATATCATCATGTTCTAATTTGGACAGTTCACGTTCTACTTTTTCGCGCAAGTGAAAGGGTATTCGACGTTGCTTTTGAGCCACTGGCTTCACGGCTTCGTCGATAATCAACTCGATTTGTTTGTTACGCAATTTGCCCTGTCCTTGAAAAACCCTGGAATGCTTGTTTACAATACGCTGTACGCCTTTGTCTGGAATATTCCCTTGTTGGGCTGCTTGGCTGTTGGGTTTTGTAGTTTTGATGTGGTTCAAATGTAATGTGATAAGCCCCAAGTCTTCGGCCGTATTTGCACTAAGGAGACACCCCCCGTCGGCTTCTGTCACATAAATGGTTGCCACAGTGATCTTCTTCCGCGATTCGACAGTGGTTTGAAACTTGCCTTTCATTTTGACTGGAACCGTTCCATTGAAGGGATAGGCCTTGATACGGGTCTTGCGAAGTGTGATTGGTCCCAGTTGCTTGAAGGTAGACTGGTCGATGACATTAATAGTGGAGCCTGTGTCTACGGTGAATTTCACCTGATGTTTGTTTATTGTGACCTTAGTAGTGGGGTTATTTTTAGCTGTTGTCTTGACCGCATAACAATAGCTGGACTCATCACTTGAACTGGATTCACTTTGATTATCCGGAGGGCCAACAACCGGTCGGATCTTGTTACCCCGGCGATTACTCTCTGGATAATGATTCGGTACTTCGTTGTCGGGTTTCGACGAACGACATTGTCTGGCGAAGTGATTTAGCTTGCCACACTTTCTGCATTCTTTGCCCCGAGCAGGACAGTTGCCCTTCTCGTGTGGCCATTCGCCGCCACAATTTCGACAAGTGCCTTTGGAAGGCTGTTGACGCGTGTTTTTCCGTAGAGCGTGTAATTCCTGCCGTTCGAATTGTTTTTGTTCAATGTCGGCCACTTGAAAGTTACTCATTTCTATCTGCCTACCGGCGATCAGTAAATCTTTGAGCGTCATTTTAGGGTCCCGTAACGCTTGCTTTCGAAGTCGGCTTGATGATCCTTTTAGGACAATTTGTAGCATAATGTCAAAGTCCATATTCCCAAACTGGCATCGTTCTGCTAAGCTTCGCAACCGAGTGTGGTATTGATCAATGGATTCATTGTTCTCTTGAGCGGCTTGGCGAAATTTGTATACCTCATAAAGGCGATGCTTTTGGGGTTCAAAGTATTCGTTCAACTTTGCCACTGCTGTTTCCAAATCATCCCCAGTGTCCGGGAGTTGGCGAAATATTTCACGAACCCGTGCGCCAGCTTGATACAAAAGCAATGCACGTTGTCGTTTCTTGTCAGTTATGCCCGTTGCGACTAGATACATCTGAAAATCTTCTATCCATATCTTCCATTTTGGAGCGAGATTTGTTCCAATTTCGCTGTCCGGATCAAAAGGTGGCATGGGTTGTACCATAGACCCACTTGAAGTGGCCATCCTCGTCGCCAATGTTGTGTTTTATCTTTTATTGTCTAACTATAATATTTAATACGAACTACTTCGCTCACAATCTCCAGAACTGATCTCTTGTCCGAGCACATTTCGTGCTCATGTCTCCTATGTCCTAGTGACGTATCATGTCCGTGACGTCATAGAGACGTAGTCACTACAGCCATAAAGTCTACTAGGGCTTATCGTTCGGTTAAATTGTTCAAAATACTTGCTTATGAGAATGTTTTTCTCGATCGATTGCACATGAGTGAATGTCTGGATGTGTTCCATAGGTTGCTATGACACGACTATTTCCGATCTTGACATGATACTTCTTCGGAGTCTCCCGTTGGCTGGGGAACGTCAATTTATCTAAGCAATATGAATGGAGCAAATACTGAACATAATAATGAACATGTATGTATTTATAGGTGTTTTGGTAAAATTATTACTCTTGTTTTCTACATTTCTGAGCAAATATCAAATAAAGTGTGTTTTACTGTTTACATGTATCATTAAAGTTTATAATATCATTTCTTTTAATAACTTATTTATAAAGGTCTGATGCCATGCATCAATTCTGGTCTCAATCCTGAGCAAAAAACAGTATTCGATCTTGCTGCTGAAGGACACAATGTTTTCTTTGGTGGTCATGGTGGTACTGGTAAGACTTTCACAGTTAAAAGGCTTGTGAGTTATCTTTCTGCAGCTTGTACAACGGGCATGGCATGTGATTTGTATGAGAAGGCTAGCACTTTACATGCTTTTGCTTGCATTGTAAATTCTCGAATGAATGTGGATGAGTTAATAGTATCTGTACGAAATCGGGAAAGTTGCTTGGCAAGGTGGAAAAACACTTATACATTGATCATCGATGAAATTTCTCAACTGAGTAGAAAGGTAGGCTATTTGAAGCAATTCATCACTTGGGACAGAAAACAAGAGAAAATTGTATACCTTTTGGGGGAATTCAAATTATTGTTGTTGGGGATTTTAAACAACTTCCTCCAGTTCCGAGTGATATTGATAAAAGTGACTTCTGTCTTGAGAGTCGATTGTGGCAATCAACACTCAAACACAATGTATTACTCGTGACTGTTTACAGGCAAGAACAGCAGCAGTTCATTCATTTTCTCAGGGGTATTGCATCGGGAGTTATTTCAGATGACATGCAACCCCTTATTGAGGAATTAACATAAAAAACTCTTAATGCACAAACGTTTGGATTGGAGTTTATTCCACATATTTTGTCCACTAATTTGAGGCCAACTTTCATAATATGAATAAACTCATAAATTTACCTGGAGACATTTATGTGTATGATGCCATTGACACAGCGAGTGAGAACACTTTGAATAAAGTTACTTTGGCAAAAAGTCAGTTGAAACTGAAAATTAGTGAAGTAATGCTGCTTTCTAATATTTCTGAAAAGTTGAAGAATGGTACCAGGGGAAAGTTGTCCAGTTGGAGAAAGATGGTCCCACTGTTGATTTCAAAGATGTTGGTATTGTCACCAAATTACATCGGTGTACATGGTTTGCATACAAATCTGGAATGAAAGATGTTATTGTTGGACAAAAATCTCAGTTTCCTCTGATATTAGCTTGGGGAATTACTGCTCACAAAGCACAGGGACAACATTAAAGGCTGCTGTTGTCCACAGTGGCAATGAATTTTCGCCAGGTCAATTGTATGTTGCTTGCTCCAGAGTGTCTACGAAAGAAGGTCTGCATATTGTTAATTTTAATCCAAACAAGCTCATTAAAGGAGATTCCTGTGTTGGTGTATTTCATTCTTCCCTATCTGATTGCTCTCCATTGCCTGATCTAAGTTGTTGTGTATGTATAGCTGTGTAGAAGAAGTATTACAAGATCACATTGAAACCGATAATGTGTTCATTAATTCTGAAAGTTCGTCAGAAACTGATTTGGATAGAATTGAAAAAACTTGCAGTGAATTGTTTGTTGAAGCAGAAGAACAAGAACATGTTAACCTAGAGGATTACATTGACTTAAATGATGTTTTCAACTCAGTAACATCAGAAAACACAGAACAGGAAAAGAAATTACCAAATGACTTTAATGTATTTGATTTTTTAGAGACTTTGAAAGATAAAACCAAGCTGTCTTCTGAAGAAGGATCCCTGAAGAATAACATTAATACACTCCTCTCAAAACTACAAACTAAAGAGTATTTACCAAGGGTCCATATATTTCTGCAAATTTATTGGGCTGCTATATCAGACAACATTACTGCAAGATTGAAAACCGTTAAGGGCAATGATAAATTTTAAAGGAATTTGGCAGATGCAATGTTATTGTTAAATAGTATGGATATCACTGCTGCATTTTCTAAAGTTGTACAAGAAGTAGAACTTTGCACACATCATTATTGCACAATGACCGAAATGGTAAAGAAATTAAGGTCCCTATATCTATGTAAACTTTATGCTAACTGTGGTGTTCGGCATGCTGAAAGTAAGGATACCAGCATACCATTCTGGGAAATGGACAAGAACTGCCATGGGAATTTAAGTTAGATATGTTGGTGGATGGGTGATAGCTAAACTTATTCAAGCCAACAGAAAGTACATCAATACAAACATTTCATCAACAAACATGCTAGTTAGAAGTGAATTGCCTAAAAGGTTTGAATTAATCAAACTGCTTGAAAGTTTACTTGTTCATTCCAGTACCATTCATAGTACATCTGAATATTCTGGCAGTTTGGAGTTAATTGATCTAAAACAGTACAGAAATAATGCCCTGGTGTACATAAGTGATGACACATTCAGATTTTTCATGGATCTTGAACAATTTAGAGTTACCTTACTATGTCAGTCTAAATTAAATATATTTAAGTCTGATTTACTTAGCATGGCCATGTCAACTGTTAAGCAGAACAAAAATCTTTACAATCAATGGATAAACTTATTTGAAGGATATGCTGTTAACAACTTGTTGGACGTTTTGTTTGGCAAAGTTGTCAACAAGTATTTTCACATGGGATGTGGGCCGTTTCTAAAGGATTTTAAAAGAGATAATAACATTAAAAAACAGAGGCCCATCGTAAGCGTGTTGTGGAAAAGAAGGCTGCGAAACAACAGAAGGATGAAAAAATAACTATCAAATGTTTGTCAGAAGATCATAGTGCAAACAAACAAGATTCTCACAGGTTACTTGTTGCTATGGTTACCAAACGACCTGGAGTTTTTAATTCCAGTGTATATAATAAAGATGAAATTAAGCACATCTACAGAGCTTATGGCATAAAGTTTGTTGCAAGTTGGAACAAATCCAAATTGAATGACCGTCTTATCAGTCACATCAAATCTACCAATCAGATGAGTGATCCAGAATACTTGAATACTATCCAGGATCTTGAATGGTATTCAATAACATTTTCAATTAATTATAAAATGGTTAGTAATTAAGAATGAGTAGATCGACCATTGTATAATTATAAATGAATGAATTTATTGATAATTCTTAGTGGTTTTTGAAAAAAATAACTATTCAGTATACCTTGATGTACTTACATCACACCAGTGTCAAACAGTGCATTGCAATACGATGTGGGAAACATGTATAAAAGTATAACCTGGAATTTACATGCATTGAAAACAGTGTGATATAAGCACTTCTAAGGTCTATTTACATTACATTTTTCGACCATTCAAAATTATTGTTAATGTTTATATTGAATGAACATTTTTCTTATCTTTTAGAAGGTTTTTCTTGTGTGCATGTCTATTCTAATTGTGCCCCCATTAATAAACAAAAATTGTTTATGCAGTTTGATACCCTGATAAAAGGCTTTTTTATGGAAACATTACAAAATCAGAATACAGTTATTAACAATTACTAAGTCTGTAAGTCATCAACAATTGGACCACTTGGCAATATCAACCTAAAATATCAGACTTATGGTTTGACATTTTAGCATTGATGGCTAATGAATGTTCTACTAGTTACATAGGGGAGAGGGAGTGATTGCAATTGGGGGGGGGGGGTGGGAGGGGTGATTGCGATTAGAATTGACTCGTTCATTTTTTTTCCTTAGAACTGGTAATTTCAATGGTTTATAGAATGACAAACTTTCAACAGAACCGGTGTTACTCTTATTGGCCATAGATGTTTGTCCCAGTAGAATACTGTTGATTGTTGGTCCGTATTGGGCATATGTAGGGTTATCGTTTTGTCCATTAAGACCTCTCTGCTGACAGAACACATTTTCCACAATATTGCTGTTCATTCTGTATGCAGCAACAGAGCAACCAGGATGATTCTTAAATGCTTGTTTGCAGAACTCTCTGAACCCAATAATTGTGGATGACACATCAAACATGGTTTTATCAGACAAGAACATCTTGTTTCGGTCAGATGCCTTCATATCCTGGCGGGCTGATACTGTTGTCCGCCATGTTCTGAGCCATGTCATACATTGGTCATTCTCTGTAAAACGTGGATCTGCCATTGAAGAGTAAGGCTGGTGACTTGAGAAGTTTTGTATAAATTTACTGGTCTCTCATCCCGTCAAAGTGTAAACAACCCCTTATGTACGCAATGTTTATAGTAAGGGGTTTAAATAACTTGAGGGTGACAAGAACAGTTACCATACAAAAACATATCACCAGTAAGCTAATAACATACCCTCGTAAGATTTAACCTATCTTTGTTAAGAACTTCTGCTAGATGATTTCTCATCTTTGTGGCATATCCCAGCTCAAAGTGGTCCATGCCCAGACGGTGGTGAACTGGCAATGAGTTTTTCTGGTCCCACTTGAAAGCTTCTACCCACTGGTTCCAAACCATGGGATTTGGTCCGACAGTTAAATTCCTTGTTCCTCCAGGTCGACTCTTTTCTACATTGTTTCTCAATTTCTTCACATTATGCTAATAAGAAATACATTACTCAAATCAATCAAATTAATATTTTGGAAAAAGATTATAAAATAAGTAAATCATATTTACATGGTGGTGCAAAATATATGAATATTATATTCAACTTAAGTTTGCATTTTTATAAATATATCAGACTAGTGTATGTTTTATCAGTTTTAATCATGTATGTGTACCACCATACTGTACACTCTCTGTATACATGCTGTTGAGCATTTTCTAGTTTGTATCAAATAATTGTATATACTGTACATGCATGAGTACTTACAGGGAAGTCAAAAATGATGATCAATGGTTTTCTTGTGTATGGATTGATGACTGTGAAATACTCTTCTTCGGGATTCTTACCACCAAATTGCATTTTGATAAAACCACGATTACTCTCCCCTCCATCACACAACAATATGTGACAACAAATTTGGACTTTAAAAGCCAGAAAACTGCTTTCCAGAAAAGGTCATGTAATGTAGCTGCATCTGCTTCTTTGGTAGGCCAGTGTGCAAAGGGAATCTAAAGCCAGTATTACCAAGAAATACAAACTGCAATACATGAGTTGCCATTTCAGGTTCTGAGTCCCTACCTAAATATTGTGTATAATGAGAAAAAAATTAATAAAAAATACAGTGAACTACTCAACTACATGCCTACACCTCATATTATTTATATTATGTGCACACTGTACAGTTTATTCACCTTCATTTAAAGCTATCGTTGTGTCATGTAGTTCTCCCAGATCAACCAGACCAACTAACTTTGTAATACCAGTTTCTACTTTTAACTGAAGACCTTCCTAAAAATGAGAAAAATATCATGAAGATAACGTAATGTATTTAATTCTACAAAGACAATACGTTGATTTAAATGCCCTAATTTCAGATCCCCTTGATACTGGCTATTTAATATAAAAATGTGTTAGGTAGATTGACTTATAACGAATACCTTTCACTGCATTTGTTATCAATAACACAAGAAAGTCATTTACAATATTTAAAATAATTTTTATTGACATTATGATTGATTTTTTTTATTATCGTGTACTGTACATTATTATTATTGCACACCGGCTCAATGATACACAGATGCAGTACATCTGTAGATGGTAAATAATATACCAGTTACCTGTATAGCCATTTTATCTAAAATAAGTCCACCTTCTCTTCCAAACGAGTCCAGTTTTAGTTTATCTGCCTCCCTCGACATCCATTCCAATACCTCATCATTCAATCCTGGCTTTTGTTTCATTGCGTTCTTGTACAATGATAGTAAACGACCTGATGGTAGGACAAGCACACCACTTTGTCTGAGCTCTTCATACACTTTGGGACTTTTGATCCATAATGAAAGGCACAAACGAATAATTCTGTAGGAAAATATAGCAAATTAAACTATTACTCTGTTACCCTGCATATAAGCACGGCACATAAAAGTGACTTTCATTCCATTTTTGGTAAAAAAAAAGTTGGCATTTTATAGGCGCATGCATATTTAAAATTTTGCTTATAGGCACACCCAAATATTGTACTACAGGCTGACGACAATGTTTATAACTTAAAACATAAAAAAGATATTCTTTTCATGTTATATACCCTACTACTTACAAGTAAATCATCTGGCATTAGACAGAGTAAAATACTAGCTAATAAGTTATTCAAACATACTGCACAAGAAGAAAATAGATTAATTCAGCGTACAAACAAAATCATCTGTCCATAGTTTAATATCTCTAAGCTGAAAAATACCAAAACTGGATGGCAAATAAGAATGGGACAATGGGTTGGAAAAATGAGTTTTTAATAAATCCACTTATGGAATATAATTAAAGCTTACTTTGGATGCCATTGATTTCCCCTTGAGTCTTTAGTTTCAAGTACCTTCTTCTGTACCTGCCAGAACAACTTCAAATCAGGTGAAAGTTTTTTCTCATCAATGTTAGAAAACATTTTCTCAAAATCTTCACTGTCCTCTATATCAAAGTTGTACATCATTTTCAATGACTCTTTCAACTGTTGTTCTCTTTTTTTGCCACTGAGTCTCCTTTTCTTCTCTAACTGCAACTTTTCTTTCATTTCTTCAGTGGTCATGTATGTTTCACGTTTTTGTGATGCACTTTTCTTATCGGTTGGTTGGATTTGAAAAGTCTTATAAAAGGAGTTGGACTTAATCTTGGGGCAGTTGCCACACGTCAGTTGGTGGGGAGTCAAAAGGACTGAACAATTAACAGTCCTGTGTCTGAAACAAAGCAGTTTTGCCTGATCAGCAGAACCGGAAGACCATTTCTCTGTTATTCCAACAACGTACCATCTCTGTTGGTGGTTTTCTTATCCACATCGACTTTAAACCCCTTGCATAGTGGGGCATTCAACAAAAACGAAAACAAGTTGTCAAAATAATGTTTATAAGGAACAGCGTTTCTTACATACTGTCCGATATTTACCTCGATTTGACACGTAATTTAAACGAAAGGTCTCTATCGATTTTAAGTTCCGTCATAACCCGCTCAGTGTTACACACATCATTGGTAACATTAACCCACTCCACAAACGATTCATTGGCTTGGCAAAGAACCCATGACGGCGACAAGTATTGCATAATGTTACTCCAAACCTAGCGAATTTGAGAGCGGCAGCACTCCCCTTGACAAGAAAAATCGACTGGTACTGACCGTGTGAGACATTAAAATAATAAAGTAGGGTGCATTGCCATTGGGGCACAATGCAAGTTAGTTGGATAATAACATGGTATTCACTAGAGGTGTGCAAATCCGATCCGATCCAATCGGATTCGTTCGGATTTCGGAACAAAAATATACATTTCGGATCGGATTGATAAAGTTGTTTCGTAGTTGGATCGGATCAAACTTCGAAATAAAATGAATTAATTATCCACGCGTTATTTCAAGAATTAATTATCCATACATTTATCAAAGCATTATCGCGGCTGTCGCTACATTTTTCGTTTGATACTTCAATTGGACGTCACTTTGTCAGCTTCTTGACATGTATTTCTTGTTTTTATATTTATTTGGTTAAACTTTTCAACTTGGACGAGAAAAATATTTTATTAAAGAATTGTTCGAATCGGATCGGATCATAATTCTTTATCACAACTCGGATCGGATTAGACAATTTCGGATCGGATCAGATTTTAAACATTTCAAATAGCTGTGTACTCTATGTATCGTTCATATACAGTAATGTGCGTATTTGCATATCCCCAGTCCAAGCGAGTTAACGCTCTACAGAGCGTCTTGTTCAGATACAATAGCGCGCTGAAGTTCGATCACGTTTTTTTTATACACCCTGTATAACTACAGGCATGTCAAATTTCAAAAGTTATAAACAAGCGTTAGCCGAATGGACAATTTTTATATAATTATATTGTCTTTGACTTTGGCTAACAGTGTACAAAGCTAACCCGATCCAATACAACTACAAGATGTACATTTTATATGAAATAGTTTGAAAAATATGACCGATACCGTTTGGTTTTATCGTCGTTGAACTAAAGATTTAATAAAAAAAATACCTGCCTTTATGCTGTTTAAGTGCTGCATTTCCCCGTGTTTAGTCTACTTAGCTGTACAGTATGTCAAATAGCTACACCTTTTGGGGTTCTAAATAATGCTTGTCGCAAAACGCAAATCATAGTTATAGAAGGATAAAGAAGGCTGTCAAAACTGAAAGTGAAATGTCTGAATGCAGTATTTTAGAATGTATATGCATATTGAACACTTTTGGACTTTTATGTGTGCTATACTACAAATTTGTCAAGCGGTTTCGCGTAACTGTTGTCAATTTCATTTCACTGTTTCAGTTTTACAGTCGAGATTTAATTGAGCGCGTATTGAGTATGCACGCTACACGAAATTAAACATCAGTATATACACGCTTTATAATGAACACTTGCGAATCACCACAACTAATGGTTAGCTAATATAGATTTTCATGCAGATATTATAATTTTTTTGAGTTTATTGAAGTAAATGTTTTCACGTTTGTCTACGTTATAAGCTAAGAAGATCGGTATGAAAATCTTGCTAGTTAAAAAACATTGTCATTCAGAGTGTGCCGTCTGCAAGGCAACCACGCAAGAATATATGTTTTATATCGAACTTGAGCAGTCTGTCAGGGTTTTCACTGCAGCGGCTTTCGGGAGGTAGCGGAAGTGAAAACCCCGAGTATTAGGTTGGCACAAACCGCCCATCTAAAGAGTTCATTGGCGATGTAATTTTAAAAATAAACATTGTCTTAGCCGAGAAAATCAAAGCTAAAGTTTATGTAAATGAACATGACTTTTTATCACATATGAAGCCACCGACACGGCAGTGATTTCCTTTGTCTTTTCCTCATGAATTATTAATGAGTTTTTAAAGTAATATATGAACAACGAGAGCGAGTGTTTCACCGGGATATCCAAACACGAGAAAACAATGTATGAAAACACGAGCGCAAAGCGCGAGTGTTTTCATACATTGTTTTCGAGTGTTTGGATATCCCGGTGAGACACGAGCTAGAGTTGTTTATATGGCTTCTCAAATGAATCGAGACGTAACAGAATGTTTTCGTTTGCTGATTTGAATAGTATTCTTAACCAAGCATAACGTAATTAGGAATTCTATTCGAATTCAAGTAATTTTGCATGAGTAATTAAGATATTTGATGAAAACACTAGTGACTTTCATCAAGTTTCACCGGGTTATCTAAATGGCATCTTGTGACCAAATAGGTAATTATCATTGGCTGAATTGCTCATGAATTATTAATGAATTTGAGAAATATATACAGCAACCTAATAGAATGCATCTATTTAATATCACTAAAATAGCAGTTCACTTTTTTAGTGTCAAGATAATGCAACGTTTTCTTAAAATGTTTAATTGTTCCGCTTTTCTTATAAATTGTATCTACATTGTTCCAGTTTTTTACAGTCCTTACAGTGAACGGTACGGCCCCCATCTGAGATATTATTATGAGCATAGATAAAATTTAAAATACAGTATCTAGTATTACGTGCATGAACATCGGAGTTTGTCCTCAACGTTTCAGTTATATACCAGTTGGGCGTATTTTCGTTCATTCTTATATGCGATTCCACAGCGATTGATGAAAGTTTCATTATAATAGGGGATCCAGTTTAGTTCATTAAACATTGTGACCGTTCTTGTCATGTATTCAGACTTTCAGTACCAAAAATTATACGCGCTGCATGCACGCTTGTAAACTCAAGTGAGTGTACTGTCACATCATTGAAATAATACAATACTGACGTCGAATGCTACACCATTCTGTTGCTTTTGAGATGATGGGTTCCCCGGTTCCCTCCCACAAGGAATGTTGACAAAGGTGGTTTGCGAGACAAAGAAGTAGATATTTGATTGCATCTACATTATCTACAGTTGAAAAGATATCGTGATTAAATAATAATTAACTTGTTTTTTTCAGAGATTTGGGTGGCAACTGGATTCAATCATTGGAAGCACAACAGTTTTCTACACTCAGTAAACTTCGTACGTTGTGAGTAACGATTTTGTATTCTCCTCATTGTGTACACGGTCAGGGGCTGGGGAGAAAGATATAGAAAAAGCAAGATGGCGGATGTTTCATATACGATTCTTATACGTTGAGATCGTTCTAAGAATAAAACAAAGAAAACATAAAATTGGCGACGATTAACAAAATTACTTATATACGAAACGTGTAGTCTTTCCAATGTTTCAACTACCGGCAGTTACGCCGTTTTCGGTCTCGTCAGACTATACAACGCTAGGGCAGCGATGGGTTAAATCACTGGAGTATTACTTGGCAGTTTCTAATATAACGGATAGTGCTTGGAAAAGAGCAGTTTTATTGCATCTGGCCAAAGCCAGAAGTGCAGGATATCTTTCTAACTTTCACAGACACTGGGGATACTTATGAAACGGCAATGACCAAGCTTACGGAGTACTTTATACCGAGGACGAATATCCCGATCGAAAGCCATTTGTTCAGGCAAACTACCCAGGAATCAGGTGAGTCAATTGAGAATCCTTTGTTAAAAGACTTCAAACACTTGCAAAATCCCGCAGATCGAGAACCTGGAGGAGACCATACGTTGCCATGTTGTAGAAAAATGTTCCTCTGGTAAACGTCGACGTAGACTTTTCAGAGAACCTGAACTGACGCTTGCAAACTGTATTCAAGTATGAAAGGCACGCTAGCCAGCCATATGGAGATGCTTACGCTTTCCTTCGCTTCTCACAGCCAAGTTTCTGCACGTGCTGTTGATGACTATAGCTTACAAAGTAAACATGCAGGTCGTGATCTCGGACAACGTCGAGGTAACACTGTTGGACTCGCATGTTTCTGCTGTGGTTTTTTGGGCCACAAAGCCAAAGATTTTTCCTGGCCTGCAAATGGGAAGATTTGCAACAAATGTGGTAAACCACATTATGGGAG